TATAGACTAAATGAGTGAGTGAATACTGAAAACAGAAGATTTCAGGGCTACATGCTGAGAGCATTTGGATTTTGAAATGTACATGAGATGCTACATTACTAGTCAGATCTCAAGAAGTCATCTTGCTGAAGCATAGTTGGTTTGCCCTGACCTTTCTCTGTTGATAAAAACTTTCACGAATAAACTCTTCATTATCTGAACATGCTTCAGTGTCACCTAAACATAAACAACAACAGCAGTAAAGGCAGCTGACGTTTTCCCAATGTTCCTTCTCTGCCAGGCTCTGTACTGTATCCTCTCCATGTATTGTCTCATCTAGTCCTCACGAGAACTCTGGAAAGGAGATGCTGGTTTTTGTTTGTTTTTAGTTTGTATTTCTAGATGAGAAGACCAAGGCTCAGAGAGTTTAAGTCACTTGCTTAAGGTCACTCAGCCAGTGAGTACAAGTGGAGGGGAGTCAGGGTGGAGCTAAGCTTCGTAGGCCTGGGATACAGTGCCACCCACTCCATTAACTGGAATAGCTCTCTTTTTATCTGTTTTATAAATGGGAGCTCTCTCTTGGTTTTATTTGAAGCCAGGGTTTTGTGGCCAAAGAAGAATTTGAAAACTCTGGGCCTGCAGAACAAATTTGACCCTGATGGACCCTTTTTAGCCTCATGCTCTCCTGCCATTATATCTCCCGCCGTGCTTCTGCCTGGAATGCCCTTTCCTTTCTTCTGCAGCTAAGTTAGTATGCATCTCTAGGCATTTTCCAAATCTCAAGGCAGAATGAGTTGTGCTTTCTGCATGCTCTTCCCACAGAAGGTCTGTCACTCTGTCCTAGCAGCAGTCATACTCTTTCTAAGTAATGGTTGGCAAGTTTGTTTCCACCACTGGAATGAGCCTCTGGAGAAGTTGGACCAGGCCTGCCTCCTCTCTGGAGCTCCTCAGCCTGGCCCAGGATCTGGCATGGAACGTAGGGGCCTCAGCCAGTGCTTGATGCATGAATGCACGCCAAGTCCAGAGTGGGTGCTCAGATCAACCAGCTGAGTCCAGAAGCCTGGAATACAAACTAGTGTGTACTTGCAGAACTCCATGAATGTGAGATGGAGATGATCAGATGTATTAATCACTGGTTTGGAAAGGAATTAAAATATTTCCATAATATAGTGTGTTTCTTTTCTAAAACAGATGTGCCCTTGTTGTTTCATGAGGAAGTAATTAAGTGTGTTTGATTAAAACATTCATAAACACTGTCATTTATTTAAGGCTACTATATGCTGCCATCTTTATTGGTACTTTATATATGGTGTGGCTGCTTCTCCCAATTACCCTGTAAGGTGTTTTTATTATCTTCATTTTAGAGATGAGGAAACCGAGGCTCAGAGAGATTAAGTAGCTTGCCCAAGGATAGTTAGCTTCTGAGTGATAGATATGGGAATGAAACAGGCTCTGTCTGACTTCAAAACCAGTGCCTTTCCATCACCCTAACTGCTTGTGATCTTGTATTTTAGATACTTTTCAGCTCAACACCCCGAACCAGCAAGCACATGCCCTTCTTCCCCTCAGCCCTTCCTGCGCTTGGCATCCCTCCTCCACCGCCCACCTTCCTCCCCTCCCTGCACTCCTCTCTCCATTTCCTTATAGTATCTTTTTGATTATTGCCTCTATTTGCATCCTGAAATGGAAATATTTTTGTCAGTGTCAATAATTGGATACTATTATATATGGAAACTATCTGGTGTTAATAGTGTAGTGATGTCACAGTTACATTAATAAATACAAAATAATACATTTTACTAAGGCTAATCATATGTTACGATTTTGTTTTCTTTATACAGCCTTTTACTCTTAAGATTTTTTTCGAGTCTCAATTTATATTTTTTAAAATGTGTGGGTTTTTTCTTCATGTAAAATATAAATAAAACAATGTAGTGAAAACGGGAGTTAGTTGGTTAGATAAATTTTTTAATTTTATTAAAGATTGTCTAAACAGTGGGATACCTATTTCAAATTGTATATGAAATATAAGATTGAAATACTTCTTGTTAGAGACATTTAAGAGGTTTCTTATAGACTTAGATTCATTTATTTTCTACCCCTCCTAGTATTTCAGCAGGATTAAGTTTTTTGAATCAGTGGATCAAGTTTTAATTTTCCTGTTCCTTCCTTATACTGACATATGCTTTGGCAGAACAAAAAAGAGACCTAAACATGTCAGCGTGATTTTTGTTCAATGAATTAAAAACCATAAAAGTAACAAGATCTGATCCAAATCCCTAAACTCCTGACATGGTGGTTTTGTCCTTTTCAGTCCCAAGATTCATATTACCGACTTTGAAAAGCTTTCTGCCTGGAAGCAGAAGTCATGGCAGCAGTGCATAATTTATTTGAAATAGATTACAAGGCGTAGGCAGCATGGAGTAGTGGAAAGAATACAGGCCAGAAAGATCTGGATTTGAATCCCACTTCTGTCACTTAAGCCCATGTGCAAGCTACTTAACATCTGTGCACCTCAATTTCCTCATGGGAAAATAGGGGTATTAGAATCTAGTTTGAGAGTTGTTGTGAGGTAATATATACTTAAAGGACTCACCTGGATTTGGACTTAATATTGGTGGTAATCAGGATCATTTTTATTTTGAGAATACCTTCAAATAGCTGACTCTAGGAGAATTTATTTATAACATAGCTGTCTACTTGGTCTTCAGAGCTTATCCTTTCTCAAAATTCTTTTTTTTTTTTTTTTTTTTTTAAAGATTTTATTTATTTATTTTTCCCCCAAAGCCCCAGTAGATAGTTGTATGTCATAGCTGCACATCCTTCTAGTTGCTGTATGTGGGACGCGGCCTCAGCATGGCCGGAGAAGCGGTGCGTCGGTGCACGCCCGGGATCCGAACCCGGGCCGCCAGCAGCGGAGCGCGTGCACTTAACCGCTAAGCCACTGGGCCGGCCCTCAAAATTCTTTAATTTTATTCTCTTCCTATCAGGGGAAAAATACCAAGTAGGTGCCACTACATCTTCAACACCTCCTTGTCACTGTTTCACACACACAGAACATATACCCAAAACTTGGGATTGTCCTTACTAAGCAAGAAGCACATTGATTTGAGGGTCATGGATCATGTGCCGATGATATCTATTTAGGGACCCAGGGGGCAGAGCAATTTTTTCATACTAAGACCATTGGCTTTTGAGACATACCAGCCTGGGTTTTACTTTGTATAAGATACCAAACTTCTTTGTGCCTCATTTTCTTCATCTGTAAAAGAGGTTCATGATCTTCCAGGACCCTCTGTGATAGGCTTTCCAGCCTCTTTTCTTGTTACTCCCTTCTTTCTTATCTGTGCTCCAGTCAGTCCCTCAGATGAAATATGATCTCTTTTCAGCTTAAAACCTTTGTACATGCTCTTTCTTCTTCCTGGAAATCCCCCCCAGTTGCGGCAACTTGCACTCATTCTTCAGATTGTTGTGTGGTGTATTAGTCAGGACAGGATGTGCTGTGCTGTAGTGACAAGCATCCCCCAATCTCCATGGCTTAAACAACAGAAATTTATTTCTCACTCATGCAGCATGGTGGGCTCTGTTCATCATAGTCACTCTGGAACGCAAGTGGATGGATGCTCCATCTCGACTAGTACTGCGGCCAACAGAAACAAATGTGATGGGGCATAGACTGGCTCTTAAAGCTTCTGCCCTGAGGTGCCACCCATCATTTCTGCTCACATTTCATTGGCCAAAGCAAGTTGTACAGCCACACCAAACTTCAGAGTGTGACCGGGGGGGACATGCATTCCTACTGGAAGGAATAAGAGCCAGAATACTAGTGAACAGACCTAATGACCACCACAGTTAGATATTATTTCTTCAGGAAAGTCTTCCCTTACTGCCCCCTCCCAAACTGGAACAGCTCCTGGTGGTTATCTGAGCTGCTGTGTGCTCCGATGGCAACGTGTACTTCCCCACTTCCCTTACCATAGCACTTCATGCCCTGTTGTAAATGTCTCTTTACTTGTCTGTCTCCCTAAGAGCAGGACAAAGGTCTGTCATGTTCACTGTAATACCCTCAGTGCCCAACACTGGTTTTGATAGGCACTCAGTATGTACATAACGAAGAAATGAAGGCAGGACAAACATGCTGGGCTACTCTGCTTGGTTGTTGTGATGATGAAACGTAAAATAGGAATAATAATAACTGCCTCACACAGTTGTTGTGAGGATTAACGTATAAAGTGCCTATCCCAGTGGTGTATAGTAGGCCCTCAGTGTGCTCATTGTTGTTATGATGAGGACATTAATAGTCAAAATAACTGACGTTTATTAAGCACTTAGAATGTGCCAGACACTCTCATGGGTCCTTTGTGGAAGTTAACTGGTCCAGTGGTTCTCACATGTTATGTCAGGACTCATGGTCAGTGCTGAGGTGATTGACAAGTAATTTGCTATGATAATAGTTAAGTCTGAAGTTGTTACTTATTTGTTTTGGGTGATTTAGAGATTTAGAGATCATGCTGTTTCTACAGCATCATCGCTCGTTTGCATTGCTTTCTTTAGAAGGAGAAGAAAGGGGTGGAGTTATAGCTAATAATTGCTTTGTTTTATTGAGCACTTAAAATGTACCAGGGTTGGTGCTAAACAAATTACATGTGTCATCTCATATAATCTTCACACCACCCTCTTCAGACAGGTGCTGACAATCTCCGTTATATAGATGGGAACTCTGAGGAGGGGAAGTCAGTTATTCATCTAGTCAGTGGCACAGCCAGGGTTTGAGCCCAGGTCTGCCTAGACTCCCTGGCTCGTGCTTTTAAGCAGTACTCTTACTGGCTCTCCTCAGCTAACTCACAGGAACTTTATTTGATCCTGAGTATCCCATGGGCACGTGTCAGGTTGTGAGGATCGTCCACCAGAGGTTACGGTTACAAACTGCTGAGATAGTGGACAGAGTGATGATGTTGATTGTTGGCCAGCAGTAACACATGTAGGACGATTTTATTGAATGTTCTCTTGTCTTTTATCAGAGTAACCAGAGAGCACAGGGAAATGCTGGTGAAACTGGCCAAACAGAACACCAACAAGGCCAAAGATTCTTTACGGAAGGTTCGTACCAATGCAATGAATAAGCTGAAGAAATCAAAGGACAAGGCCTCAGAGGACACCATTAGGCTCATAGAGAAACAGGTACTGCCGCCAGCAGAGGTCGTGCTTATGTATCCAGCCAGGGAGTCACTTGTTCATGTCTGAAATGAGGAAAATTAAAACAGTGCCTGTGGTTCCTTCAATGACATTGACGTGATCAGCATTGACTGAGTCTCTGTTCTGGGCCCAAGCCTGTGCTGGACCCTGGGAATATGGAGGAGGAGAAGATGCTCTTGACCTTTTACTACGTGCCAGGCTCTGTGCTGGACACTGTACATCCCTTCATGTATGCCCGTCACTATAAAACTGTGAGGTAGGCAGTGAGGAAACTGATGTTCAAAGAAGCTAAATAACTTACCCAACTTACTGCTGGTAAATGGTAGGAATGGGATCCCAACACAGGCACACTGGTTTCAGAGCCTGTTCTCTAACGCTCTCCTGCCTGTGGTTGGTTGGTTGGGTGCTGAGCAGTGAGGACTTAACAATATTCTCAGTGTGCTGAGTAGTGGCACTTGAACAGGTCTTAAAGGAGCTACTGGAGTAAAACAATGTGACAAAAGAGGGATACCTGGGATTTGAACCTAAGATGAGACTGGAGAGTGGATAGCGAAGACAGAGTGACCAGTTCATAGAAGGCTTTGTATACCAGGTTGAGGAGTCTGAACTTTAACCTATCCAGAGATTCCCACGTTGGCTATGCATCTTTATCAGTCATCTGTGGCCACAGTAATGCTGCATAACAGACTACCTCAAAACTCAGTGATTTACAATATCCAGCATTATTTCTTATCCTGGTTTCTAGGTCAGCTGGGATGTACCTATTCTAGGCTGGGCTCAGTGGGCTTGGCTCCAGATTATGGATTGGGGTCAGTCGTCTTCTTAATCTTCTGGAGTCCACAAGCTTCCTAGGGCCTCTTTTCATGGCAGCAGCAGACACCAAGAGCATAAGCCCAACCAGTGGAGTACGTTTTAGGCACCTGCTCTTGTCACATCTCATTGGCCAAGCAAGTCACATGGGCCAATCCCAGTATCACTGGGGCTGGGAAGGATAGTTGTTCATGGAGGTGCGTGGGAGGGAGTGAATATTTGTTGAATAATAATCTAATCTACCACAGCATCATAATCACTTGAGGAGCTTATAAAAATACAGGTATGTGGGGCCCCACCCCCAGAGAGTGAGTCAGTGAATCTGGGGGGGCCTAGGAAACTGCACTTTAAAATGTTCCCCAGGTGATTCTGATACAGTAACTCCCTTGAAAGGTTTTTTTTCCAGACAGTAAGAGGATCACATCTGTGTTTATGAAAGATGACTATGGTGGCTGAGTAGAAAACAGATTGTAGGGGGCAAGACTGGAGGCAGGGAGGCCAGGAAGGCTGTTGCAGAAATCCAGCTGGGAAATGATGATGGCCTGAACCTGAGTGGCACCAGTGGAATTAAGATAGAAAGAAGAATTTACCAGTATTTAGGAGATAGAATTTATAACATTTAGTGTAATATATAGGGCTTGCCCAAAGCTAACTCGTCCACAGTAAAGGCGATATCTTAGTAATACTGAACAGGAGCATGGAGTAAAGAGGGAAGAAGCAGGGTGCAGGAGAGTTGTTAGCGGGACATCTGGAGGAGGCCATAAATTAACTGCTGACTTCTTCTGGACCAGCAGTTAGAATGCTAGTTGTAGACCAGCCTCAGCAGTCACCAAGGGGAGAATTTAATAGATTCCTGGGCCTACTCCTGCATTTTCTGATTAAGTAGGTCTGCCCAAATGTGTATTTTTAAAAAGCTCGCCAGATAATTCAACAAAAGTAGACATGGAAGATAATGACCTACACGCCTTACAATGTACCCTTGTAATGGCACCAGTTAGAAAGAGGTTGTTCTGCATTTCATGTCCTGGGACCTTGGAGAAGTTACTTGACTCCTTGGAGTCTGTTTCATCTGTAAAAAGGGATTGGTAATTCTTACCTTGAAGGGTTGCCCAGGGTATGCTAGAAGCACTGTGAGAGTATCTGACACTGGGACCCGCAAAGCTCCCTTCTTGCCTTCTTTGTGTCTTCCTCTTTCCCCGCAGCAGCTAAAAGAGGTTTGTAGACTAGGCTGGCCTTTTCTGAGCACTGAGACTCGTAAGAGTCTGGTCCCTGGCCCCAGCTGGGCCAGCTCCTTGTCCATCTCCCAGGGGATTCCATCTCTGCAGGTGACCCTTGGCCTTTTCTTACTTCCTGGTGGTAAGCCTGTGGACCTCTGGGGCCTGCCAGGCACTCCTCACTTAGCAATTCCGGGCATTTGCCTCAGGGACCAGAGCCCAGGCTTCTTGAAAAAGAAAGAATGATCAGATAACTGGTACTCTTGATAAAACCTGCTGGAGAAAGACCTTGCAGGAAGCCTTTAGCACCTGGCTTTTCACCTTCCTCTTCAGATTAGACTTTTTTCTTCAGTGCTTATTACTACTGTTGATTATTACTGTTTTTCAAAATGAAAATAACTTTATTAGTTTTTTCTGATACTAAACTAATAGATGTTTAGTATAAATTTTTTAAAAAATTAAGAAGAAAGTAATTGAAATCTCATCACCTGGAGATGATCATTGTTAACATTTTAGTGCAGACCTTCAAGTTATCTCTGTAAGCATATATATCATATTACAAGAAAAAAGATCATACTGTATGTATTACATGATACATCCAGTGCAATAATCTTTACTGTTAATACATTATCATTTAAATACTTGTTCTTACCATTATTGCTAATAACTTCATTTACTGTCATATGGTTAAGTTTGAGTAAGAAAATATTCAGGAGACAGCCTTGTGCACGCTTCATTTTGTTCTTTTTCCCCAACAGAAGGCATGGATCTGGAGTTTTGGGTGTGTTTTTTGTTTTTGTTTTTTTAAAAGGTGGGGGCTGATTGTTGCTTTATCAAACAATTTTTAAAAATTTATTTGTTTACTTTGTTCTGATTATCAAAGTAATGTAGTCTCATTGTAGAAAATGTAAGAGTTCAGAACACTGTTTTAAAAAATGGGGAAGATTTCACCCCATAATTCACCCACATTGCAGAAGCAACTGCTCTTAACATTTTGGAATATTTCTTCTTCCTCCTTCTTAACTACATAGTTTTTAACATGATTGGGAACATGTAGTATGTATACAATTTTGTATCCAGCTTTTTATTTTCTGTTTAGCATTAAAACCATTAGCATTTTCTTGTGTCTTAAAAAACCCTTTGTAAACAGCCATTTCTAATGGTTGCAAAATAGTCCATCTTGTGGTTATACCATAATTTACTTTCATAAGCCCTCTTGTTGGACGTTTAGTTTGTTTAAACTTTTTTGTTATTATAAATAAGGTTGCAGTGAATATTTTTATACATAAATCTTTGTTGAGATGATTTCCCTAGGATAGAGTCCCAAGTGTGGAATTACTGCACAAAGGGAACGCATATTTTTAAGGTTTTTGGTACGTACTGCCTAAATTACTTGCAGGGTTTTTAGAAGCTGTGTGTTTTTAAAAATTTTGCCTTTTCTAATCCCTAACATTTGAACCTAGAAGTTTTTAATGTAAGCTTAAAATGTTGCTTATCTTGGAAGTATTGCTTTTACTTCCATACTCTACAGAAAAGAGTATTTTATTCTTTGTATAAATCCATACAACCTTTCTAGAGGATAATATGGCAGTATATACCCAAATCCATACATTTCTGATTCAGTGACTTAGGAATTTATCCAAAATAAATGGTCAAGAATCTTGTCTAGAGATGTCTGTTGATGTTTTATGTATATAATAGTAGAAAACTGGAAACTCTAAATTTCTGACAGTGGGAAAATAGTTTTACATCCATTCACTGGGATCTCGATATATAGACAGTTGGAAAAATATTTTCAGATATGGTAAATTTTGGGGGGAATTTATTTTTTTAAAAGGTAGTTTACATAATAATATTGTAATGATTCCATTTTTCACATAAATATGAAAGGTTTCATGTACATAAAGTTGGCAGCTTATCCACTTCACAATGTTCATGTGGTCATTTCACGTAATGGGATTATGAACAATTTTAATTTATATTTTCTTTTTTTAATTTTCCAAAATTATGTTGAGGTCAGATTTTTTAAAAGTATATTATAAAAATGTTTCATCTGTGGTGTATAAGAATGAAATGATTCAGCTGTAGGTTCCAACCCTGCATTCGTGTCTGACCTTAACCCCCACCTCCTCCAAACCAACCCCAACCCCCAGCCCAGGCCAGCTCTGCTGAAGAAGGACCAGGGTCTTCCCACTTGGGACTCTCACATCTGCCAGCCTGCTGTTTCACCTTCGCTTTAGCTTGCTATAAATGGGCCTGCTGAACATTAAAGCACTTGGCAGAAACCACCAGTAATCTGGCCAAGATCCTTTCACTGCCGCCCTTTTCTGAGAAGCAGAGCTGCTCTGAAGGATGCTAGTGGGGCTGAAGGAGGGAACGGCTTCCTGCAGACCAGGCAGGCAGGGAGGCTGGACTGAGTGAGGCAGTGGAGCAGCACCCAGCGGCATCGTGGGTGTTCTGAGCCAGGCCTCAGGAAGGATGACTTGCTACCCAGGTCTGTCCCAGGTGTGTACTCTGTGCTCCTGCCATCCCCCTTTTCTGTCTCTGCCTTTCATTTTCCTGAACTGGTAAGGAGCAAATGTAATGATGATGATGATAATGTTGATGATGATGTTATAATCTTTATGAGGCAGTATATTATAATGGAAAGGGCCCTTGCTTTGGAGTCCAACAGGCCTGACTGATTGAAATCCTAGCTCTTTCACCTCTCAGCTGTTAAGGTCAGCAAATGGCTTCAGCTTTCTGAGCCTCTGTTTCCTCATCTGTAAAGTGGGAGCAGTAATGCCTATCTCGTAGGATTGGTAAGAGGACCAAATGACACAACGTGCTTAGAAGTGGCCAGGATGGTTGCTAGTCCTCTGTAATTGTTTGCTCTATTTGTCCATTCAACTCCTCTCCCCAGCCTTGTGACTTTGAATAGGAACTGGGATTGACTGTTGTAACAACCCTGACAAAGTCTGCCTGGAGTGAGGACGGACTAGGCCGGGTGCTGTGGACTCCTCAAAGGGAGTAGCAGCTCTACACTGGTGGTCAGGGTGGGGAGTTCTTGGCTCAGTCACTTCAGTGACTTTTGATGTGGGCTTGGGTAGATTAGTTAATGCTTTACTCCCCTGTAAACTGAGGATAATACCTGTCTCACCTGCCTTGTAGAGGTTATGTGAGGTTGTTGGATTTGAATGAAGTAACAGAGGACAAGACAGTTCCGCATGGTATGAACTACTGTGCAACTGTCAGGTGAATAATTAAATATTCATAATGTATTAAAGGGAGATAATAATAGTATTTCTACTATTGTGTAAATTAATCTACTATGTAAATTAACGCATGTGAAGTTTTTAGCCCAGTATCTGGCGTGTAGTAAATACTCAGTAAGTGGTTGCTGTTGTTGGTATCATCGTCGTCGTTGTTAATCATCATTATTTTAAGTCTGATAAAGATGGAAAAGATGAACTTGCAAGCAGACTGTCCCCAAGGGCACTTTGTGCCTGTAATATGGTAGAAGGTTAGTAAATATTTTCATTAATTGGTTAATTTGAAAAGTCAGGAAGTGATAGTAAAAATGAGAGTAACACAAGCAGCATTTGCATAGCAAATAATCAGTTTAAAATGTGCTTGCATATTCATGATTTTGTTTAACCCTCACAACTACTATCTGAGGAAGGGACTAGTGTCCCCATTTGATAGATGAGGAAACTGAGACTCAAGGTGGGGAAGTGACTGGTGCATTATCACCCCACTGAGAATCTAACCCAGAACCCACGATATCAAATTGTTACCCTAGGTATTCTTCCTCCTGCCAGTCCCCGTCCCTGTCCCCAAATTGCCCTCAAAGCCACTTTTCCAGAGGAGGCTTGCAGCCCTTGTTCCTGGCTGTCCCTGGCTGCCAGCCTGCCGGTGCTGGAGTGCTGCTAGGCACCATGCCACACCCCATGCAAGGCAGCTGCTGGGGAGCGGGGGCAAAAGAAACACCTCAGGGGTTTGCGCCAGCTGAGTGAGGAGGGACCAAGCAGCCATTCTGAGCCCAGTCGCTCAAAGCACCCAGCTGCCCCAGGAGCTTTGCTTTGCCAGCTAAAAAATGTGCAGCTGATGCTGTGGCGGGAGCTTGGTGTCTCCCTGCCTAGAACCAATTGCTCCAAGTCCTTTTTAGTTTGTACCCTTTCCAGCGCATTTATTTCCCAGTTCCTGGCCAAGGCCTGTGGTCTGCAAATAAAGATGTCAAACAGCCGCTGTGCTGCTGAACACACAGATCCTGAGCACCATGCTGCCCCCTTCAAAGCTTCCTGACTAAGGCCTCCTGCCTTAGGTCCCATGTAGACATGGGAGGGAGGCCGCAACACTTACTAAATAGTATTGTGTTTTGTTTTTCATTCTTAGAGGGAGTACATGTTTATTGCAGAAAATTTGGAAAATATGGAAAAAGCACAGAAAACTTGATTCATTTAGTAAATATTTCCTGAGCACTTGTTATGTACTAGATCTTATGCTGGATGTGGCAGATACAAACATGGATAACACATTACCCATCTTCCTATCGCTAAAAGATAATCACTGTTAATATGTGGACATGTTTCCTTCCAGTTTTAAACAATACAGTTTCTTTTTTTACATGTTTTTACATATTTGAGATAATTTCCACTACATATATACACAATTTTGTATCTTGCCTTTTCTTTAATTCAGGGGTAACATGAGCATGTTTCTATGATATTATAAATAATATCTTGAAACATTGTTTCTTTTTTTCTGATTACAAAAGCAATCCATGCTTGTTATAAAACATTCAAATATTTCAGAAATATATACTGGCATGTTATTCGCATTTATACCCTCTCCATGAGAAGTAGACGATCTTAACCATTTTTAATGGCTATATGTATTCAACTACTTCCCCGTTCTGTCACTTTAGATTTTCTGATTTTTCATTATTAAAAATAAACTTAGATAAATATCTTTGCTTATAGAACTTTAAATTTTTTCTGATTCCATTCATGTGATAATTTCCCAGTTGAGAGATTTTTGGGGTTAAGAAATGGTATGAACATTTCATCAATTTGAATTCCTATTGATGGTATATGAGCTTATCCATTTCACCGCAGCTTCCTGCCATTGAATATTGTAATTAAAAGCCACAATAACAAATTTTGTTAACTATGATAACTGAATTATGTCTTGTTTTAATTTGCATTTCTTCAGTGTCTCTTGAATTTTCCATGTTTGTTAACCAGATCTACTTCATCATTTTTCAAGACATTTTTTCTGCTTAACTACTGGGATCTTAAAATTCTTCCTGTCAGTTAGCATGAGGACTTCATATACCAGATTGTCTTGAGGTGTAGGAAATTCTAGACATTTATTAAGGGACAGATAAGCCTGGCTTCTCTGTATTCTATAATAGTAGTTAAGAATTTGGGGCTGTGGAATCAGACAACCTGGGATTAAATTTTGTCATTGTTACATTCTAGCTGTGTGTTTTGAACAAGTGATCTAACTTCCTCAGTTTCCTCATTTGTGAAGTGGGGATAATAATTCAGTCCATCTCATGGAGTCACTGTTAGGAGTCCGTAAGAGTGTGTATATAAAATTCTTAGTGCACTGCTTGGCTGGGACTCAATTAATGTCAGCTTTTGTCACCATTATTATTTCCCTGATGACCTTTCCATAGTCCTGGAATGTTTGTCCACCTACTCGTTCCCAACCAGTTATCAGGCTGTCTCATTTTGTGTTTTTTCAGATCAGCCAAATGGCCGATGACACAGTTGCAGAGATGGACAGGCATCTGGCAGTGAAGACCAAAGAACTCCTTGGATGAAATCCACCAGGGGCCAGCAGTACTCCAGAGCCCAATTTCCGGTGGATCCTATGGGTGGCAAGTTGGCACCTCTCAGTGCCTTCCACACGGAAGACTGTCACTGTGCAGTTGTCAGTCCTTGTGAGGCCCAGCCTTCCAGTAGGACACCCAGACTTGTCCATTCTCATCCTCCTGTCCCCTGTCCACCCCATTCTGCTCTGGGCCTTCTGCCATGGGTGGCCCTCAAAGAATATTTGCTGCTGACAGAGGGCCTTTATTTGGGGCATTTCCCTTGACTGTGACTTCTCCAAGCGACAGGACCAGTGGCAGACTTAGCACCACCTGGTCCTCATCTTGGGAGCCTCCTTTTCAAACAATTAGTTGGGCCCTGTCCCCAACTTTGAACTCTGCTTGGGCTGATGTGGGCCTTCACCTGTGGCTGGATACCTTTGCTAAAGGCCTATTTTCATCAAACAATAAAATCTAAATAAATTGGAAAGAATAACAACCACGAAGGAAAGGATAGAGTCGGTCTGGATTAATGATCCCTGAGGACCTGTATGCAAAGCAACCAGAAAACTGAGTCATCTTCACATGTGCTCTTTCCTCTGCCTGGACCATTCTCCAGCTGCTCACCTGGCTAGTCCTGTCCATCCTTCCCGTCTCAGCTTGGATAGCACTTCCTTTGGGAAGTCTTTCTTTTCCCGCTACCGAGGACCCCTGTTATTGGTTCTCATAGCACTGTTTACTGCTTGTATCTGAACCTTAATTGTTCTTTTTGATAATTAGTCTGTATGTCTTCAGGATCCTCAGAACTTGGCATAATGCCTGGTACATGGTAGGCATTCAAATGTGTTGTGAATGAAGTGCGCGTAGTAGCTGCTCAGTGAATGCTGGCTTCTTTTCCTTTCTTTCCATTCTTAAAAGGGTCATTCTGTCATTTTATGTTCCTGCCTTTGTCCTCAACATTTACCTGGTAGTGAGTCCCCCAGAGCCTGCCTGTTATTGACAGACAAGTGGTTTGTTGTGGCTCATCTTTGGGTACTGGGTTAAGATAGTTTTTTTCCCCCCAATAATTTTTTCTTTCACTCATTTGTTCCTTCATTCATTCATTTATAATATAGCCGTTATGAGAGAGATACAGTTCTAGGCAATATTTTAAATCTTTACAGTAAACTCGCAAGATGTGTATTATCTCCATTTTACAAATAGGAAAACTGAGACTTGACAATATTAGATAACTTGCCCAAAGTAACAAAGCTAGTTAGTGATAGAGGGTTTCATTTTTCATTGTCAGTCTCATTTTACAGAGAGGGAAGAGCTCAGAGAGGTTAAGTTTCTTGCCCAGGGTTACACAGCTAGCAAATGGCAGACCTGGTGGGGCCGGCCCGGTAGCGCAAGTGGTTAAGTGCGCCTGCTCCGCTGTGGCGGCCCGGGGTTCGCCGGTTCAGATCCCGGGCATGCACCGACGCATTGCTTGGCAGGCCATGCTGTGGCGGCGTCCCATGTAAAGTGGAGGAAGATGGGCATGGATGTTAGCCCAGAGCTAGTCTTCCTCAGCAAAAAGAGGAGGATTAGCAGATGTTAGCTCAGGGCCGATCTTCCTCACCAAAAAAAAAAAAAAAAATGGCAGACCTGGTACTCAAATTAAAGCCTGATCTAGACCATGTGCTCTGCCCTCTGCATCCTGCTGCCTTCACAAACAGTGAACAGCAGCTGTGTGTCAGGTCCTGTGCTATGTGCTAGGAATACAAAAATGAGTAAGCTGTGACCCCTGCCTTTGAGGGGTACATGGTACACTGGACTGAGTTGCTATTTATAATGTCTTGGGTGGAAGGTAGGAAGTTCATTGCAGTGCTTCCAAATGTCTGCCTTTAGAGTGGAACCCATTTGGAAGCAGCAGGGCCTGTCTGTGTTCCTTCAAGGCAGCGTCCAACTTCTCTTTGCTGTTGGACTTCTCTCAGGTTCTGTCCCGTGCTAGAGGAATAAGGGTTGTACCTCTCCCTCTGCTTGCAGTGGTGGAGCACACTGCACAACAGTCAGCGGGGACTCAAGGGCAGAATTAGGTCAAAGATGAACGAAGCTAACACAGTCTCCAGCCCCGCTTACCTGTCCTGAGTCAAACCCTGTTCACCAGTCCTGAGTAGCCATCACACGATCGGAAGTCAGCTGGGGGAGGACGGGGATAGAAATAGCAATCAAGGAGCCTTTTTGGGGTAAGCCACATGGCAGGGCTTTGCAACAGTCTTTCGTGAGTGGCCGAAATCCCCCACTCACTCCAAATGTGCTTCTCAAAGATGCAGGATTTTTTAATAAACAGAGGAAATGATAAATTATGTTGTAACTCCACTCCAAAGGCATTTGGTTCTTAACAGCCAAATCCTCTGTAGTCTTTAAATAAACAAAAACTTATTTGGTGAACAGACGGGGGGGGGAAATGAAAGATTTTCTGTAGTTGGGTTCCACATGTCAACAATTTCTCTCCTGTGTGTATGTTGGCCAAAGCCGTATATCATGATAAATGAATAAAGGAAAACCTCGAGCCCAGGGCAGTCAGACAGCTCAGCAAATGGCTTTCAGCTGATTGCTCTATTTCAGTTGACATTTATCAAGGAGTTTCTCTGTTACTCTGTGTGTCAGGGCTGCAGTGGTGGCAGGGACGAGAATGAGACTACCTGTTTGGATGTGCTGAGTAATGAGTCATGCTGGGGCGATTCAGTCTCCCTCCTTCAGTCTCTCTCTTTCAAAAAGAAAAGCTGAGTATGGAAATTCTCACACTTGCCAGAAGAATTAGCCACCTCCTCTCTTCAGTTCAACAGCTTTCAAAGTCCCATGAAAAATACAGGCCAAAGAGAATTTGAGAACTTTCTTTTCTGTTTATTTTTGTATTCTTTCGTCCGTGTGTGTGTGTGTGTGTGTGTGTGTGTGCGTGTGTTGGAAATTACAAAAGACACTGGAATGCGAAAAGTTGAGACCCTTCTCACAACTTTCCAATCTTACTCCCCTTTAATAATTAGATGTATATCCTTTCAGACCTTTCTCTATACATACATAATTTTTAAAAAGCAGGGAGGGAACTATTCTGTTCCTGTTCTGAAGCTTGCTTTTTTTTACACAACAACATATCATGGCCATCTGTCCATGTGTTAACATGTAGATACAATTCATCCTTTTTCATTGCAATATTTCATTGCAGTATTAAGTCATTTCAGATGCATCGGAGTATGTTTCTATTTAAAGATTTTTTTTTTTTTTTTTTGAGAAAAAAGAACCCCCATTCTAAGTTTATGTCTTTGGTAAGTTGTACTCTTCCTCAGCCTCAGCTAACATTTATTGAATGCCTACTGTGGACCAGGTACCATGCTGGACCCTTTACATGTGTTACTACATTTAAACTTCCGAACAATCCTTGTTGGTGTAGGTATTACTACTGTCTGTGTTTACATATGAGAAAACTGAGGTTCAAAAAGAGTATTTAACTTGTGCAAGGTCACATAGCTAGAAAGTGCCAGAGTCAAGTTTGAAACTCAGATCTGACCTTGAAGTGGGTCTTAAATCAGTGTACTTTGGTTTGGAAGTCTTCATTGAGCACTTACTGAAAATGTACCTAGCACTGCTCTGGGCCCCGAAGGTGCTATAAGAGAAGCAGAAAGCTCGCTTTCATAAGACAATGAGAAAGTTATTTCTAATAAAGACTACATGGAAAACAGCACAGTAGCTGGCATGGTAAACACTGAAGAGATGGTAGCTCTTATGGAGATAGTAAAGATGACATATTTATATCTCATCTGCTTGGCAGACTCCTCTAGAATGTGTCAGAACCATGGAGTAAGCAGAAAGACCACCCGACAGTGAGTAATGATGATAATAACAACAATTATGGTATTGACAGCACCAAAAACTAATATTGGCTGGTGCTTTTTAGTTTTCAAAGTACTTCTACGTCCCTTATCCCATTAAAACCCTTGAGTGAAGCTTTGCGTTTCTTTTGCCCTAATATAGCCGATTTTCATGACGTGCATGAAAAGATATGTTCTCCGTTTGGGGGTACAAATTTTGATATGTACACACGAAATGCAGTTTTTGGATTACGTTGTTTAGGTTTCTTGTATTCTTACTTTTTGACCCTTTGGTGAGTCTTGGACTGAAAGTGGTATGTTTCAGTGTCCTGTTTTTAGCATTTCTATTTCTCATGGCATTTCCTGTAATTTCTGTTCTATGAAAGTGCTGCCGTGTTTGATGCGTAGATAGTCTGACTCTTACATCTTCGTCTCATTCAGTGCTTGGAGTCTGAATTCTGTCTTGTCATATATCAAGATCACAGCCCTGGCTGGCTTTCTTTTCGTTTACATTTGTTTGGTGTATCTTTTCTGTTCCTTTATTTTTAGCCTTTCTGAATCATTATGTTTTAGGTGTGTTTCTTTTTTTAGAGTTGAGTTTTGTTCTATGAACGACTCAGAAATTCCTTTTTAAAATTATCTTTGGCCTGGTAGTGTAGCAGTTAAGTGTGCATGCTCCACTGTGGTGGCCCAGGGTTCACAGGTTCGGATCCCGGGCACACACCGACACACACCGCTTGTCAAGCCATGCTGTGTCTGTATCCCATATAAAGTAGAGGAAGATGGGCATGGATGTTAGCCCAGGGCCAGTCTTCCTCAGCAAAAAGAGGAGGATTGGCATCGGATGTTAGCTCAGGGCTGATCTTCCTCACAAAAAGAATGAATGAATGAATGAATGAATAAATAAATAAAATTATCTTTAATTGTGTTAAAATACCCGTAACATAAAATTTACTGTCTTAACCATTTTTAAGTGTGCAGTTCAGTAGTATTAAGTACATTCACATTGTTGTGTAACCAATCTCCAGATCTCTTTTCACCTGGCAGAACTGAAACTGCCCGTTAAACAACATCCCATTGTCCTCTCCCCTCAGCGGCTGGCAGCCACATTCTACTTTGTGTCTCTATGAATTTGACCACTCTAAGTACTTCATATGGGTGGAATCATACAGTATTTGTCTTTTTGTGATTGGCTTATTTCACTTAGCATAATGTCCTCAAGTTTCATCCATGTTGTAGCATGTGTCAGAGTTTCCTTCCTTTTTAAGGCTGAATAATTTTCCATTGTCTGTATACATGAAACTCTTTTAATAGGTGACAGACTCATTTACATTTGTTGGTAATACTGATATGTTTAGTAGAACCCATTTACTCTTTCTTTACATGCAATATTAACACTAGGTGACTTGGTTTCTAAACCTTTAGCAGCTTAGGGACTAGCGATTAGATTGAGGAGAATGGTTTCTTCTGCAGAGAGGAAGTTCACTGTTCGCTGAATGAACAAATAAGTGATGGTCCCTGTCTCTTATAGTCCTTTCTGCTAGTCTCTGTTTCAGTCCATCCCGTGCTGTTAGGTGAACCTGAAACACAGCCGTTATCGTGTCACTCTTCTGCTCAGAAACCTTCAGTGGCTCCCCACTGCCTGCTGAATTATGTGCAGACTCTTCAC